AGAAATACAGAAAACAGATCTCATTTAGAATAACTTGCACAAAGTAAAACATCTAGGAGGAAACCTAACCAAGGACAAAAATTGACCTCAAAAGTAAAATTTTTAAAACATTGAAGAAAAATATTGAGGAAGACAAAATTTCCCATACTCACCAAACCAAATAAATAGATAAATAAATAAATCTAAAGTTCATATGGAATCATGGAAGATCCCAAATAGGCAAAGCCATGCTTAAACAGAAAGACAAATGTTGGAGGTATCCAGAACTTGACTTCAAATTATACTACAGAGCCATAAAAACAAAGTACCATGGTACTAACAACATATGTGCATACCAATGTAGTAGAATTGAGGACCCAAAGGGGAAAAAAAACCAGCTGGCCATCTGAATTTTTCACAAAGGTGCCGAAAACATACATTGGTGAAAAGATGGCCTCTTCAATATGTAATGCTGGGAACACTGAATATCTACGTGTTGAAGAATAAAATTAAATTACCTATGTCTCCATCTGTACAAAAATGGCTCAAAGACCTTAATATAAGACCCGTATCTCTGAAAGAGCTAAAGAAAAATATAGAAAAAATGCCTCAAGATAGGTAGAGACAGGAACTTTCTTTAAAAGACCTTTAACAGCACAGAATATAACCCCAAAGATTAACATATAGCATTGCATGAAATTTAAAAGCTCCTGTACAACAAAGGAAACGAGAGTAATGAGGTTTAACAGGAGAAAGAACAGGAGACATCTACAAGGAATTAAAAAAACTTAAACACTAAAATAAAATGATCCAATCAACAACTCTTTAAAAACGAAATATAAAGAGGAAATAAATATTTGAAAAAAAAATGTTCAACATTCCTGGACTAGCCATCAGTGAAATACAAATTTTAACTTTTTTGAGATTCCATTGCACCCCTGTAAGAATGGCTGCCATCATGAAATCAAGTCAGCAAATGCTGGTCAGAATACAGAAAGAAAAAGGATTCCCATAGACTGGTAGCGCTAAAAACTTCTTCAGCCACAGCGGGAATCAGTGTGGAGGTTGTTCCAACTAAAGGTAGAACTGGCATATGGCCCAGCTGTCCCATTCCTGGCTATCTATTCCTATAGAACCAAAAGAACTGAAGTCTGAACACTACCAGTGTGTAGCCTGTGTACCCATTCCTTGCTATCTGTCCGTCCACAGCCAAGGGACTCGAAGTCCGCATACTAGCGATGTGTTTATAAACCATGCACATTGCAGCACAAATCACAACGGTCAAGACGTACAGCCAAAGAATAGCCTAGATGTCTATGAGCAAATAAATGAATAGAATGTGTTTTATAAACACACAATGGAGTTTCATGGAGTTCTAAAGACAAAATTAAGTTGTTCCTAATGTCCCGGGAAAGGTGGTAGAACTAGTGATTATCACGTTAAGAAAAATAAGAAGACTCAGAGAAACAAATGTTATGGTTTTTTTTTTTTTTCTCGTGCAGAATTTAGTCGCAGATAGATATAAATAAGGAAATGATATCGATAATATAAAAGTAGAACTGAGAACTGGATGAGGGAAGGAAGCGGTCTAAGGGCTAAGGGCAGGGGATTGGATGAAATATAAATTTCTTAAAAGGAAATAAATATTGTAGGTCCAAGGGCATTCTTCCCCTGTGTCTTTCGGAGCTGTCAAACCCTCAGAGATGAAGCATTAGAGGGCATCTACTTTCCCTGGCAGGTTTCTGACATGATTGGAAGCCTCAGTCCTGAGCTTCCGGGCACTCTACTCTTTCCTTTACTCTGTTGATATTTCACATTACATTAGGGAATGCACCATACGGACCGAATGTGAGAGCAATGAAGATTTCTCCTCTTCTCTCCTAACTGCCATGCCAAGTGAAAGGACACCATCAGCCTATAAAAGGCAATAACCTCATTCACTCTAATAACCTCTGCCCTTTAGCCCATGATGTGTTCATTCTAAGCACGGGGAGAGGAATTTATGGGAGCATTTAGGTCCGGATCTGCCATCAGCTTTAGCAATCTCAATTAATCACTGAGTTAATCATTCCCATTCCTTCAAAAATGGGCCAAGTTAATTAGAATGAAGGTTACTTTAAAATCTTCTCTTTAGATGTCTTACAAATTTCAGAAAAGAACCCCTTAGCATGAAAAATTTAGACCTAGGAGATTGTAGCCAGTGGAGATTTGCAAAATATCTTTAAAAGGTGATGTACTTCTGGATCCGTTTTCTTCCCAGTTTTAGGATACTTTACTTAAGGAAACCAATAATTGTTCATAGTGTGAATGTATCAGAGAACCAAAGAGACCCAATCATCAGCACCTTTGCCAGTCTAGACCAAGTAAAGTTTCTGCATACATATTAGAATGTGCCAGAAAGTATTCAAAATACCTCTGCCTGCTTTAAAAAAAAAATATTGTAAATGTTTTCCACATGCAAGAGTCATTTCTTCCAAAAATACAGATAAGCTCAAAGAACACTCTCTAAGAAAAATAGTTCACTATGATTTAAATCAGAATTTTTCTATACAATTGACCATTAAAGAATTTTTTCCATGAAGACAGGCTTCCATTGAAGAAAAATGAGGCATGGGAAGAAGAGAGAAAAACAAAAAGAAAGCCTGGAAGGATATAAAAAAATTTTTTTTTCCTGAATGTTTTCACAGACTCTGGACAATCCCTAGCAAAAGAGAAAACTCATCAAACAAAACTCCTATTACTAGGTAAATCTGGAAGAAGTCAGAGCAAGAAGTGTTTCACATTAGATTGAAAGTACTGTGGCCTACCTAGACACAAATGATCTGCCCATAACCCTATGACCTTCTGTCTACCCATTTTGTTAGTCTAATAGTTTATGCCCTGATCTCTCACATGCACACTGCCATCTTCCACATTATATGAACTAAGAATTGGTTGATATTTTGCCTTTCTTCCAACTTTTTTAAAAGATCTATTCTTTCCCAATCTGTACCAACCAAGTACCATGCATGGAGATAACCTAGAACCCCTGCACAGATGTAGCCCATGGCAGTTTAGTGTCCAAGTCGGTTACATAGTAATGGGAAGAGGGACTGCCTCTGTCATAATCTGATTGGCCTGCTCTTTGATCACCTCCCCCTGAGTGGGGAGCAGCCTTACCAGGCCACAGAAGACAACAATGCAGCCACTCCTGGTGAGATCTGATAGACTAAGATCAGAAGGAAGGAGAGGAGGACCTCCCCTATCAGTGGACTTGGGGAGGGGCATGCGTGAAGAAGGGGGAGGGGAGGGTGGGTTTGGGAGGAGAGAAGGGAGGGGCTTATGGGGGGATACAAAGTGAATAAAGTATAATTAATTAAAAAAAGAAAAGAAGATGGCATCTAGACCCTAAGGGGCACTTCTGATTCATCACAGGAGGGGGGCGAGCAATGGAGTCAGCTAAAACCACTGCCATTTTTAAAGAATTTATATATCACCTTGCTATGCTGGTATGCAATAAAACTTATGTAATGACCCTAAAAAAAGATCTATTTGTTATGTTTACTATGTACACCTGCAAAGCCAGAAGAGGGCACCAGATCTCATTGTAGATGGCTGTGAGCCACCATGTGGTTGCTGGGAATTGAACTCAGGACCTCTGGAAGAGCAGCCAGTGCTCTTAACCTCTGAGCCATCTCTCCAGCACTCTCTTTCTTCCAACTTAATGGGCTAGCCTCATGCCACATTAGTGAAGATCATAGCATTCCTGGGTCTAAGATGATAGATCATTTGTTGTTTATAATGAATAGTAGCCAGAATTTCAGCATTTTTGTAACAATTTCCCATGTCTCAACTCCTAAGAATGGCCTGAAGAGGGCCCAGCTGACCACTGAACATAATAGGCTGCATCACAGAAGAGGAATTCTGAGCATGGGAAATCCAAATCTTGTATCATGGATTGAGGGGAATGATACTCTTCTCTACAGTGAGACTGTATGTTCTCTGTCTGTTAAGATTATAGTCAAACCTGACTTCACATGGGAAAAGAAATTGTATCTTCCAAGGACAGTCTCTGTACATTCTCAGAAAGATTGTCTAAATCAAAGGACACAAGATACCTCACTTATAGGTTGTGAAGAGACCCATGGAAGACAGTATCAAAAAATATCCATCACTCACTTCTCAGTGTCAGGTCATCTGGAATATTGTCCCGTGAGTACCCTATTCTGTTGGTCATTCCAATTATTCAAATCAAAACAGGCCAAGATTAAACCCATTCTTTATCTCAGGTGGCATATCTCATATAGTCAGTAGTGACAAATTCCAAGTAACAGGGTGAAGCCCCAAAGTCTTGATCTCAAATAGGATCCTCAGAGTCCCAGACTTGTTGGGATAATCTCTGGTACACTGTGTAAAAGTTGTCTTTGCATTATTCAAATGCTGATTTCTGTACCAGGAGAGAGCTAGGTACAGGACAGACTTTAGCACTGTCATTTTTATGAAGCATCACCTGTCTCAGTGTTTTGTAAACATCTTCTCCATCACCTTCTGATTAATTTAATAAAGAGCTGAACAGCCTATAGCAGGCAGAAAAGGGTAGGCAGGACTTCCAGGCAGAGACAGGAACTCTGGGAAAGAATCAGGAGTCGGGGATTCACCAACCAGGCACAGAGGAGGAAACAGGTGCCAGAACTGAGAAGAGGTAATGAGCCACATGGCAGAACATAAATTAGCATAAATGGGTTAATTTAAGTTATACGAGCAAGTTGGGAACAAGCCTAAGCTAAAGCCAAGTTTGGGTATTAGCAAAAAAGTCCCTGTGTCATTACTGGGAGCTGGCAGTCTGAAGAAAATCCCATTATAATTGGTGCCCAACGTGGGGCATGTAATCCAAACATCGACAGAGCCAGGTTATAATTGGCAATCAACATGGCACACCTATATTCAAGCTTAAAGCCTGAGAAAAGTCCCAGGTGGGAACCAGGGAGAGCATTTCCCTAGCAGCCGCACACTGCTCTGAACTCAGCAGGAGACTAGGTAGAAGCACCTGACACAGCACAGGCCCAGCAACTTCCCAGAGCAGGGGACAAGTAGGTGCAGCTCCCAGCTGGTACCCCCAACAGGTGGCAGAAGACCAGAGAAACGTGCGTCCACCTAAGGAATGCCGCAAGCAGTCAGACAGTGGCTGCAGACAGAGCTGGGTGGCAGACAGAACCCACGAACCGGGAGCGCAGTGACCAGACTAGACCCAAGGGTGCGGAAACCTAGGTTTCTTCTGTCAGCTACTGTGGGTGCTGAGCGGCAGAACCACCTCTTCCCTGTGGGCAGAGCGGCTGGGGCAGAGCGGGAAGCTAGCACTTTGTGCCAGCTGAGCTGCAGAAGGGGCCTACCCCCTTAGTAGCTTGGTAGGGTGCAGAAGCTTGGAACAGCAGATAGAACACCAAGGAAAAGTACACGGAGAGAAAAACCACACCAGCTGCATGGAGCATTCACCAGCCAGACAGAGAAAAAGAAACAAGTGCCGGGACTGAGAAGAGGTAAGGAGGTCCATGGCGGAACACAGATTAGTATCAACAGGTTAATTTAAGTTAAAGGGCAAGTTGGGAACAGGCGTAAGCTAAAAGCCAAGCTTTCATATTAATAAGAAGTCTCTGTGTCATTGGAAACTGGCAGTCCAAAAAAAAGTCCCATTATACAGACTCGGTCAGTTGAACAAATATAAATCATCATGCTTTTTCCTTGAGTTTTTGTATTGAACTTTTAACATGACCCAAATATTAATCAAAACAAATCAAAATAGACTAGTGACTGCACAGACTCCATATCAGCCCACTAGAAAATCTAAGGCAGTTCTGAGAGCCACATCAATCCTAAAGAAACAAGCTGGGGCTGATCTAAATGCCCTGAAGGAACAAAATAATATCCTTAAGCATTTCGGCTAACATCAGGGGACAGACTTCGTACCATCTTATCTATTGCTTGACTATGATCCTAGAAAGAACTGCCAATAAGGAACACTCAAATGACTCATCAGTTTTTCCCTAGAAAGTACCACTGAGGAAGAAAACATCTCTTACAATGGTGAAATCAGCTTGTAATGTTTCCTCTAATGAGTTGTCTGTTCTGAGAACGCCACAATGAAATCTTCAGTGAGCTAAGATGCTGAGCCACCTTTTTGGTGATAGGTTTTAGGTAGGGGCAGAATCTGAAGAGGCAGATTTTTTTTTTCTTTATCACTCTCCTCCTAAGTCTTGTGTAAAAATGCCAAAGTTTATCGGTCAGCTCTGCTGGCATATGTGTAATAAACCCAGTCAGGTCCTCAGAGTCTGAGATCTCTGACCTGTCAGCTGTAGTCATCTGCTAGAGGCGATATAACAAAACGCAGACTAGATGGGACACAGAAATGTATTCCTCATGGTCCTAAATGCTGGAGGTAGAGCTCAAGGTGTCAACAGATTAGGTATCTCCTCAGTCTTCTCCTCGGTTTGTTGGTTGGTCTCCTTTACAGTGTGTTTTCACCTTTTGATCTGTGTATGCACACCTCTGGGGTCTCTTTCCTTCTGCTAAGGACACTGATAATTTAATTGTCTTTATTTTTCTTGGCTTCTTCCTTTTGTTAAGATAAGGCCTCATTAAGTTGCCCTAGTAACCCTCGAAACTCACTGTTCTCCTTCCTCCTAAGGAACTGGAGTTACAGGCATGTGCCACCATACCCAGCGCAAATGCCTCTTCAAAGGCTCTGTCTCTAAGTACAATCACACTGGGTGGGTCTATGCTTCAACATCAAAATTTTGGGGAGACATGACATGATCTGTTTTTAAAAATGTGGCTGTAGAAGAGAGGTGACACAACAAACTCCAACTAGAGCAAATGGCACTTAGGGACTCCTGCTAATATATAATGGAGATTTCCCATGTTAGAATGAACCAATCTTAATCCCCAGATGTTAACAGCATTAAAAAGAAGTTCTTGACAATGCCCAACACAAACATTATCCAAGCATCATCAACATAACAGCTGAATCTGGGGCCTTTTTAGTCTACAGATCTGAAGACAGTGACTTAGGCACCCATTTCCATCGTCCTAAAAGCTGGGGAGCCTCCCCTGAAATTCCCCAGCATGCGCTCCTCTTTGACAGAATGCTCCCCGATGTTTAATCTCTGAAATTAGGTAGATAGGGATCAAGAAGATAGAGGAGCAGGATTGTTTCTTGTTTGAATTTGATTTTCAGCATCATGGCTCACACAAATGAACTGTGTTTTCTACCCACCTACTGCTCTGCCTCAGGCAACAAAAACCTGGTGGTTTATACAAGCTACCTCAGCCTTGGGTACTTCTCTGAGCATCCCTTTATACACATTGTTCTTTGCTTGAAGCCAAGGGATTTGCACCCTTTTGCTGACTTAAGCGTGGCTTACACAAAGGCAGCCTTCTCTGAAGATGCCACCTTAATCCAAGACATCTGCTGTGCCAGGAGGGCAGCAAGCTACAGCCTGTGGAGCATGCCAGCTTGCTGCCTACTTTTGTAAATAAGGCTTTGTTGGGACAAAGCCACATCCCTTCATTCACACAATGTCTATTGGCTGTTTTTGTGCTGCAGTAGCAGAAATGAGTAGTTGCAGCAGAGAAATCATGGTCCACAAAGCTTGAAAATTACTATCTAGCCCTTTACGGAGAAAGCTTGCTAATCCCTGTGCTATGCCATTACTAACAGAACATCATTTTAGCCCTTGTCTGCTTTCAACATAAAGAGCTCAGATATTCCAGAGCAGTCAAGCAGCTCACAAGAATTTATCTAGGTTGCTTTGATTCAGATTCCTGTTCTGTAGCTAGTCACCTGCATTAACATTGTACACCCAATATACAATTCACCGTTCACCACGACAATTACAGTCCGAATGCCTCAACTATGGATTCCCACAGGGGTTCGCATTTCTTAGAGAAATCCTCCCAAAGGGACCAGGGTTCCCTTATAGCAGATGAAACTCAGCAAAAGAAAAAAAGGAGGAGGAGGTGGAGGAAATGAAGAAGAAGAGAAGAAGAAGGAGAAGAAGGAGGAGGAGGAGAAGAAGAAGAGGAAGAGGAAGAAGAGGAAGAAGAGAAGGAGAAGAAGAGGAAGGAAGGAAGAAGACGGAATACCACATACCACTGATACTTTTGGTTTTCTTTGGATCTAAATTTAACAAAACAGATTACAGAGTTAGTTGAGCCATCAGAGCCACATCTACTGTCCTCTTTTCTCGGCACACCCATCCTTGTCTTTTAATCATTCAGCTTAGTGTTAATGAGTTCTGCACGTTTCAATAGGCCTCCCTCCTTTATGCTAGAAGAGGTGTGTCTCCCTGCAGCTGTTACCTGAGTGGAGAGGAAGCATATTGCCACTCAGAACAAAACTTTGCACTATCCACTCCAACGGAGCCGTTTTCAGCCTGACCACTGCACCTAAAAGGAAAGGTTCTCTGTCTGGAGACAATTAGCACCAACTAGGACACCATTTAGGCTGCTGACTTTGAAGTGATTCCCTGGAACTCATTCTGTAACCATTTCCCCCACCCCACCCCCAATTCATTCCCACTAATGGGCAATAAAGTGGAGGATCATTTATTGTCCAATTGGCCATAGAATTTAAAGAACATGTTTGCTACTGATTTCATATGCTTTTCCCAGACAGCAGTTATAAAACCATCAGGTCCTCATCTTTTCTTTTTCATAAAGGCATGTCTCTGTCCATATCCCATCCTCATGAGCAAAACTACTAAGGAGATGAGAGAGTCTGAGATTAGACCCTATCTGTTAGCTAACAAGTTATCCTAGTGCATTTTATGGATGCTGGTAGAAGAAAGAAGACTTCTGAATAAGCAAGAAATAAAGAACTATTTATTGCTTGCATCACTCACAGTAGATAGCATTATCATCTGCATTATGGTACAAGTTTCTAAATGAGGGTAGGAAGATGTCTTGAAAATATCAGCACTATAATGAGACATTGTAGAAAAACTTTGATCTTAAGAAACCTAAATTTACCCTTTGCCTTTAAAGACACTACACAGTTTTCTTCTGAGGTCATTTACTCTACAACCAAGCTTGAACAGGCAGAAGAAGGCAAAGTGCCTAGGTCAGATAATTTACATCGAGGTGGGCATGGAGGCATATTCCCATAATCCCAGCATTCTGGAATCTGAGGAGTGATGATCTCCAGTTCAGGGTAGGCTGATGCTATCTAGAATGATACAAGCTCAAAAACCAAAAAGAAGTATATATATATATATATATATATATATATATATATATATATATATATATATATATATGCATAAGGATAGTAAAGCCCTGGAGGATTGTCTCCCAACAGAATGACAGTTGAGAATGTTTCACTGTATCTGGCCTCAATGAAAAAGAGGCCTAATCACCAAGTAATCCTTCCGTTGCTCCTAGAAGGAATACATCCACCAGTTAGGCCACGTAGCCTATAGTGCATGATTCATTACCGCCCAAAGATATAAAACTATATGAACTAATAAAACAGTTCAGTAGCAATTACAAAATAAATAAATAAATATAGCTTTTCAATATGCCAGTGAGAACTAGGTAATTAGTTAAAAAATATAATGGGAAAAGATTGCATTCAAATAGCACTGAAAAGTATGAAACATCTAGAGACAAAGTTAATAAGAAATATACAGGCCTAAATAAAAAAGGATCATAAATTTTCATCAAAGGACATAAAAATAATAATTGAACCAGTTGAGGAATAGTCTATGTTCTCGGATGGGAGAATTTGCTGTCATAATGATGTCAAGTCTTCCCCAAAATTTATCTACATAGTTAATGTAATTCTAGTTCCCAAGATTTGAGCATTAGAATTTAGAGACGGTAGAACTGTCATGAGCGGGACACTTGCTTTCTTGTTAGAACTCAGGTAGACAGGTTACTGTATTCATCATCAAACGTTCAACCTAGCAAAGTTTGCCAGTTTTGCAGAACAAATTCATGATCTGCAACTATCAGTGACTTAGGAGGGCACTATTTCCTCTTTCTCTCACACCAAGTTCTATATTGCACTCCCCAAATCCATAAAAGCCCAAAGCCAAAGCATAAGAACTGGTTTTTACTGTTTACATTTTATTACCATGTGTTAATTATACATAAAGTGGGGTTTATTGTAACATTTTCATGCCTGTTCATAACATATCTCATATTCCTACCCAACACTTTATGTTCCTCTCCCATTTTCATTGATTACCTTACAATTAGCTTCCCTTTTATGCTTAGCTAGTTAAGTTTATAGGCTTAGGTTTTTTTGGTTTTTTGTTTTTTTTTTTTCAAACACCTACTTTATTTAAGGTTTTTAAACACCTCTACCTCCCTTCCAACCCTCCATCCTTAGGTAGGAAATTAGTAGGAGAAAGGGCTGTAGACCTTTTATCTACTATTTTACCTACTCGATGAGTCATTGGGTTCTTTGGGGATACCAGTCTCAGTCAGGAAACCAGCAGTTTAGTCACCCAGCAAAGCAGCAACAGCAATGTGTCAGCAGCAGTGGAAGGATTCAGTAGAAGTGTCTAGACTCTGCCCAAATGGTACCTACCAGTCAGCCAAAGCGGCAAAACTCTGCCAAAGCAGCCAGAGAAGTTCCCTGGCGGATTTCTCTCTACGAAGTTCGGAGTAGGATCCGTATCTGAACCATTGCAAAGCGTAGTAATGCAAAAGTGTAGAGATGTAGAAAAACGCTGTCTCACTGTCTATGGCCTTCTATTTAGCCTCCTCTCAGAGTCCACACAAGGATGTTTGTTAGCTCACAAAACCACGCCCCTCGCACGAGGTGGTTTTCAGCTGACCAACGTTGTTTTCCAAGCGGGCAAAACATTCCCACATCCCACACTTGGGACCAAAACAAAAAACAATCACATGACATATGAGTTTCCAAAGAAACCAGAAACTTCCACTTCATTAGTTAGTTAGTTAGTTAGTTAGTTAGTTAGTTAGTTAGTTAGTTAGTTTCTTATATTTACTTCTCCAGTATGACCCAATGAGTTGCATTAGGGTTATTTACAGGAGCATGTTGCATATTTGTTTGGAGTTGTTTGTTTTTCTATTGATGCTTTGAGTAGTTTATATAATGTATTTTTATTATATTCACCCCTTGCTTCTCCCAGTCTTCCCAACATTCACACCTCCGTGTTCTTTGTGTTTTTGTTTTGTTTTGTTTTTTGTTTTGTTTGTAGCTCATCAGCTCCAGTTTGTGTTATCTATATAATTCTGGCTGTGGCAGCATCCACTCAAGTGTGGTCTATCTACTAGGAACCACACCCTTCAAGAAAACTGACTGCTCTTTCCCCAGAAGACATCAACTCTCTATAGCTCCTCAGTTAGAGGTGGGAACTCATGAACCCTTTCCCATTCCATGCTAGCATGTTGACTGACTGAATAATTGTGTGCAGGCAGAAACAGTGAGTTTATGCATGAATAAATCTCTGCGGGCTTATGGGTACAACTCCTGGCTGTTAGGATCTTTCATTTCTTCCAAGATGGTCCATTAGCATTGGAAAGGGGTTGCTGTATAGATGTCCTATCTGTGGCTGAGCATGCCAGAGTCACTTACTGTCTGCCCTTTGACTACCTGTGAGTTTCTGCATCTACTGCACAAAGAAACTTCTCTGATGAGTCTGAGAGCTGCACTGATCTATGGTTGGAGAGACACAGATTTAGAGGGAATTTCAACACAATGTCCATTTAGCATTATAACAGTAGTAGACTTACCCTTGGGGCCTGTGAGCTCCCCAAGTATGAATTCTTGGCCAGATTGACAGTACTGAGCACATGTTTTCTCCTGTGTAGTGGGTCTTAAATTAAACCAGAGAGCAACTGGATGTTCTCATATCATTTGTGTCACTTGGACCCCTGGGCATAGTGAGTCATGGCAGTCATTATGGCAGTTTACAAAGTTCATAGCTTGGATAAGACCGTTGGTAACGTTTCCCACAGCAGTCTGCACAGCACCATGCAGTTCTATGAGAGCTGATCAAGAGAGATGAAGCTTCCTGATTAGTACTGATTCGATTTTTCAAGATCCTATGTGTATAGTATTTTCAGCAATAGAGTCTTACCGTCAAGTCCTAGCAGACAGCCAAGAGCAATGCCAATATCCTGTATTGTTTTGGGTGGTCTCTGGGACACCTCTGAGCAACAGCCCAAGGGAAGGTATCACACACATGGCACTGGGATTTTTATGTAGCAAAGTACGGCTTCTGGAATGAGCAAAGCCCCCTGAATAAGGTAACTCCAATTAAACTTTATTGTATGCAGTCTTCTAAAATAGCAAGCTTCCACATAGTTTCTTTTTTAAATATCCTTAGAGTTTAATTCCATCCCTCTCCCCACCTAAATCTTCCTTCTCATTATTCTCACTTCCCCTTTCATATTACCTGTGTTCTATTGCCAACACCCCCCATTCGATCTTCCTTCCTCCCTCGACTATGAATGGTTCCTTTCTAGTTTCCTGGGTTCAACAGGAACTCCAAATTAAACACAGAAATCAAAGATTTAATGCTAAGATCCACTTACGAGTGAGGACATATGATATTCGTTTCCCTCGGTCTGTGTTACCTCGTTCGTTCAGTACATTTTCAGTCTTATACGTTTCCTTTCAAATTTCGTGATTGTGTGTTTCATGACATTTGGATAAAATGTCACTGTTTATAGGTACCACATTTTCATCATCCTCCCATCAGTTCATGGGCTTGTTTATTTCCATGTTCTAACTATGTCCATGTTCTATTGTGAATAGAGCATCTATGAACATGGATAAGCACATGCATCTGTAACAGGAAACAGAGTCCTTTGGGTATGTTTCTGTGCCTCCCTGAGAGGCTCTGATTCTGCTCTAAGGCTACTGTGGTTTTGCCCCTTCCAGGAACGGGCACTGAACCGGAAGTCCATGCTTCGTCTGCAGGAAGATCCGACTGTTAGTGGCTTCTGGGTTGAACCAGATGAAGCTCACAATCCCGGGTCCTGCTTCCCTCAGGAATGGCTGGAGTTCCCAGAACAAGGTCCATTTCACAGAACTTCCCGTCTCACAGGGATGTGAAGAAGAGTTTTTCCATGGAGTGTGACAGTTAGCTCTTTGAATGAGATGGTCGGTACCAGGCGGCAGCAACACCACGGGAGCCCAGATGGATTCAGGCAGACGGAATGGCTGCTTCGGCAACAGCCAGTAACGAAGGCCCGGACACAGGGATAGCAGCCTGGTTGGGTTTTGAGTGGACAGAATGGCTGTTTTGAGAACAGCAGGCCGCTCACTCCTGAAGATGAGCACTTCCGTGGGCAGAGCAGCATGAAGGACTGAAATCTCTGCTGACCCGCTGGTAAACAGCAGAAGCCGTCAGCAGAACCGGATGAGCTCCAGCACTGACCGTGGAGGTTCTCTGGGGAGAATGGGAGTCTTTCCTTCCCCAGGGTTACAGCTCAGAATAAATGCCCAGTCTAAGTGGATGGTGCTCACCAGTTTATTTCACGTGAAATGGGAACTTGTAAACCTTGGGCGGTGGGGAGCAGCTTTGAGAACGAATGCATTTGATTGGCTGGGGCTGGGATGCTAGCAATGCTCTCTTTTCATGAGGAGAGGTAACAGGGAACTAGCTCATGTGACTGGCCACCTGGGAGCCACCTTGGGGTTGTGCCATGTGCTCCTGAGGTAGGCACGGAATCAAGGAGAAAGCTTTGTCCCACACCTGCCATTCTCAGTTTGAGATTTCCAGGAGCTGAACATGCCCCGCCTCATCCCACGACAATTCCCCGGGAGGAATTGTTCACGAGCCCTGCATGTGGGTATATGCCCCGTTGTAGTGATAGTTGGGCCGTATGACAGATATATTTCTAGTTTTCTGAGGAACAGAAACACTGACCCTGTGGCGAGTGTACCAAATCGGACTCCTGCCAATAGCGTATGGGGTTCCCCACGTCCTTGCTAGCATTTGTTTTCGTAATCTTAGCCAGTCTGACTGAGGTAAAGTGAATCTCAAAGTAGTTTTGGCTTGCGTTTTAAAGAACAGTGGGGAATATGCTTCAGGATATAGGTTTAGGTAAAAACTTTCAGATTAGGATATGGTCACTGAGGAAACAAGATTATCAATAAGTGCAAGTTCACAAAATTAAAAAGCTGCAAAGGAAACTCTTTATTGACTGAAGAAGCAGCCTACAGAAAGGGTAAAAGTGTCTGCCAGCTATACATCTGACAGAGGATTAGTGTCTAGAATATACAAGGACCTCAAAAATAAAACACTAAGAAAACAAACAACGCAATTAAAAGGTGGGCTATGGATCTGAGCAGAGAGTTCTCAGAAGAAAAAAAAATACAAATGTCTTTCTAAGAAATGTCTTTTGAATGAGGAGTTTTTTGCAAGATCATGGGAACCTTACCATTGGCTAGACACCCTCCCCCCCCAAAAAAAAAAAAAAAAAAAAACCAAACTCTCCTTGTCTCATCAAACACTAACTGCTCAGGGAAGGGCGGGTCCCCTGAACCCCCCCTTCTGTGACAGAATATTGATAGACCAGAACTTGAGGAAATATTGTGAAGCTAAGACAGATGCTATGAGTTCAAAAGTGCTACAGCTATGTCGTATCCAGAGGTCAGCATGCCAAACTATTCCGCCTCCCATTATGCTGGCTCTTTTATTGTTTCTGCCCTCTCTTCTGAGATGTTCCCTTTGTCTTGCACAATACAGATGACCTATTTTAGGGCCAAGAAATCAATAGCCACTTTATACTCAGTACTTTGGCCAGTTACCTGACTCTGCATTCAGCGCTGATCGGTACAGAAAGAAGCCTCTTTGGCCACAACTGGTCACTTGCCCCTCCCCCCCCAGGTCTGCTTTTCCCCTAGGGGTAAAGCTTAGTTGGGGCACATTGGTTACTCAGGATCTCCATGGATGAGTACAAGAGAAATAGCCTTCTCTGGAGACAGTTTTCAGTGAAACAGCTCTCTTTATTATAGGGGAACAAGGGCTATATAAGGCATAGGGGGTAGGTAGAGGTTTTCGGGTGAGTGTACATCACTGGCCGGGACTAAGGTGTCGGGAATGTTTCATTCACATAAAGAGGAATCCAGGTGCTCTCTGGACATGTCCTTATAAAGAGAAAGGAAATTTAACCTGAAACCTGGCCACCAGGACTGCCTCAAGGGTGGCAGGGTGGGAGTCACAAGGCTATTCACTGAGTTGGGACATGTGGGCCCACAGCAGGGAGGAAGCGTCATACTGCTGCTCATCTCCAGACAAGATTTTTAGGTCTGGACACTTCCTGGTCTCACTCTTACTCCCCCAGTTGAGTGGCTTTCTTGTCCCATAGTCACTAATTTACAGGCATAACCATAGTTATTTAGAGTTATTTAGAAGGGAATTTAACAGATACATCATGTCCATTTGGCAAAACAACCATAGCTTCCCCACGTAGGGCCGAAGATCTTCCTGGCCAACACTTTGGGTTTACAGTACCAGATATGAATTCCCTTCTGTGGAGTGAGCATACCAGGCCACAGAAGAGGACAATGCAACCACTCATGATGAGACCTAATTGAATAGGATCAGAAGAAAGGAAAAGAAGACCTCCCCTATCAGTGGACTTGGGGAGGGGCATACATGCAGAGGGTGGAGGAAGGGAAGGATTGGGATGGGAGGAGGGGGGGAACCACAGGGGGGATACAAAGTGAATAAAGTATAATTAACAAAGAATTATAAAAAATAAATTTTAAAAAATTCAATCAGAAATAAGTTGATTACCCCATGGCATAAGTTGATTTCCACTAATGTATAACAGGTCATCTTACCTGGCAGATTGGTGTTCTTATCCACAGGGCCCACAGCTGACTAACAGTGTTAATAAAACTCTCCCCAACAGCCTTAATAATGTTTTTTGGCATTATGAGAGCTATCCCACAAACAGAAAATTTAAGCCCAGTTCCAACTTGGTTTCTCTGTGTTCTACAAGCAATGCATGTAGCCCAAGCCCTTATTTTTAAGGCTCTCTCTATTGGATTGTCCCACAAAACCCCAAGACCCAGAACTGAGATTTCTGCAGCATAGAATATGCATGATGGATAAAGGGGCAACAAAATTAGAATTGAGTATGTTACCAACCCCAAAGAAGTTTACACAGCTCTGACAAGGATTTTGCTTGACATTGTGTTCCAATCTTAAAGAGCCAACTAAAATTCATCAGCAAATCTATTCTTATTCTTGTTTATCAATTACAATAGAGTTTTGATTACATTTTTTTAAAAGCAGGAAATAAGTTGGATCTTCTCTCTTCCCATTGAAATGTTGTCTTCAGATTCTTCTATCAAGAGTAGTTGTGCATACCCTTAATTCCATACCTGTTTGTGTCCCCTCATTCTAGACTTTGAGATAAGGAAGAGGAGCCCTGGAAGATGGTGATATTATAGCAAACACACCTTCCTTATTTGCCTCAAAGCAGTGGGGGAAATCTCTGTCTTCTCTAATGGCCAGGAAAGAATTTTCATGCTCCTTAGTTTCTACAGACACATAAAATCACAAATTAATTAAGTTGTAGGTCTCCACTCCAGAATCTGTTTGCATGGCATGATCCTGTGTTAGCTGAATTTTCATAACTGTAGCAAAATACCTGACATAAATAACCTGTGGGAACAAATTATTTTCAGTATCATAGTTTCATAGGTTTCTGTCCAAGCTCATCTAGATCCACTTCTTGGGATGTAAGATGAGACAGGAGAATATAACAAAAGCTGCTTGAACCACAGCAGCTAGGGAGCAAGAAGATACAGACAGAGAACAACTAGTCAAGATGCACTCTTCAAAGACACACACCCTGTAGGCTGCCTCTTCCAGTCATCCCCTACATCCTAACAGACCACTGACGAAGTCTGTTTCTTCATGATCTAATCACCTCTTGATAGCAGTGCTAGAGGAAGGCCAAACCTATGACATATTAGTCTTTTAGTAGGATACTTCATATTCAGATCACAAGTTCCAACTCTGTTACATTTGTGCAGCACAACTCCATAATCTATAGGGCTGGTGTAAAATAAAAATGTTAAAAATTTCAAGATAACAAGAGCAGTACATAATACCAAGTGTGAGGATCAGGTAACCACCTCAGTCCAGTAGGTGGACTTTACATTTTACTATTGCCTGGGGTTTTCAACATAACAGCAAATCCTGTTCTCCATGGGTTTTACAGGATTAGGCTCTGATTTGGCATCAATGGCATGGAGGTAAACAAGAGGAACCAATAATTCCTCCAACTGTTCAAATACAAATTCAGACCTGGAGTAGAGTAACATTAGGTGGAGGACAAAAATCTGTGTATATTCCAGTTATTGCTGAAACAGAAAACAACAGCAAGCCTTGCTGACCCAGGCCTACTTCAGAGTTTCAACTTCGGGTAATAGATGATACTGATAGAGATACAGGACGTAGAAAAGACAATCATGTCATCCCGTATGGATTTGCTAAATATCCCCAAGTAGGAGAGTCATAGAAAAGACTCCTCCATCAGAGAAGACTATCTCTCAGACTGACAGCTAGAGAGTTCCATAGAGCCTGAAAACACATTCTGTTTGTCATATGATAAAAGCTTACTTGAAAAAAAAAATTTTCTATTCTGACTTTCTTAAATACTCAAAAGAACTAGGATTTTAGGGATCACATACCTTCATGGAAACTATCAGCTAGAGCTACAATACTGCTGCCACTGGACATGGCATAAGTCCTCCAGGTCTTCATGGTCTCCAATCCTCCCTGATTACCATACGCATGATACTTACCTGGCCCAAGCCTTGTATTTATTTATGCTTTGGCTTTATGAGCTCTTTTAACTCTGAAATGTCAATGAAAGGCCTAACTCTACCATAGACCATCTGATTGAATAAAATTGTAGTGCAGTGTGCTAGAGTTTATTTAACCAACTCTTAGACTTCCAGAAGGCTACCTGAAAATAGGTATAATCCAGAGAAGGAAGATGACAAGTTTTAGATGATGATAGTAGTTATCCCTGTTAAGTACTTGTTGGTTGTAACTATTAACACCATAAAGATAATATATTGCATATATGATCTCCTGTAGTCCCGACCAATGTTGTAGGGTCCTGATGCAGACCATCCCTCACTGATGCTACCTACCTTTATCCAACATCAGTACAAGTGACACCTTCCCTCCCCCACTATGTCTGTGCTCACCAAACCTTTTGTGCCAGCAAGACACTATAATTTGCTTCTTCTGTTATGCCCAGATCTTAGGGTCCCCAAAGACCACCAGGAGCTGGGCTACATATGCAAGAGCAAAGAGCTTTATTCAGTCTTAGGGTCCGTCTCTCCACCATCACCAATGCAGTGGATCAGGGAGGAGAGCCCCAAGCAGTTGCAAGGCAGGATTTTTATTGAGGTATAAGCAAGGACCAGGAATTTCCAGTTTAATAGTTACACAATTGGGTGACATTCATCAAGGGCAAGCTTG